AACCAAGAATTACTTTTTAAAAAATAAAGTCTCTGTTTTTAACCCTTTCTTCCCCACTCCATGATTGTGGGAGGCAAGAGAAAATAACTTGAAGGGAAAAGTGAAGAAGTGCAGTCCTCTGTAAGGAAGACAAGGCTGGAGCCAAACTGTAAGCTGAGACTGCTTCTTTCACCTCTTTGCTTAAGTGTGGGAATTTAAAAGAAATAAGAAAGTTCCTCTTTCAATGTGTCTGGAACTTTTGGGGCTCAGAATCGATATGGATTTCAGATTGATCTTCATGTCTCTTTGGTACCTGCCTCTCATCAGCACTGAGGTGAGTGTCAAACCATTTTATTTTACAACTGAGAACAATCAATATGCAGTGAACTTTAGACCCAGGATATAATAATATACAGAGCAGAGCCAGAGGAAAAATAACTCTTTACAGGTGTTTCTTTAGCAAGTTTAATTCTGTCTGTGGGAACAGCTGTATGTTTGTGGATTATTTTTAATGTTACTTTTAAAAAAAAATCAAGAAAATGAATGAGGGGGAAAAATACTCTCTAATAAACAACACTCAAGCTGCTGAACTGACAGGTAAAAAAGGGAGTTGGAGAGAAGGGTACAATTTTGACTCTAGGATTACAGATGTAGATTGACTTCTATATTAGGAGGAGGAGAGCTCCAGTCAGGCCAATAGAGCTACATAGGGGAAGGGGGAAAAATTCTGCATCTGCCAAAGGCTTGCAATTTGGGAACGACGGCAAACTGAACCCCAAACTATCCCCATGTCTGGGGTGCATTCCCTGTCCCCACCCATCCTGGCTAACTGCAGCTTCTCAATCCCTCAGGCATGTATGAATTTTGCTCTTTAAAATAAACAAACCTTATTTAGGCAACTGTCTCTGGTGGCTAGCTGTTTGCAGGAGGAACCCCTTCTCCCACCACTCCCCAGATAAACACCATGCAATCCAAGGGCATCTCAGATCTCCGGGTGGGGTGCGAATCTTTCAAAATGGGGTCTGCTGCAATTAAACAGGGATGAGCCTGTCTGGCAGTTCAAGAGGGCGTCTGGGATACCTGCTTCGACGGGGGGAGGGGGGTAAACTGAATGAGGGCCCCCGGCGCAGTAAAAGAAGGCGCCTGCGGTCCATCGCAGGGCGCTGGTGGGGTCTCCCGGAACGGAAGAGCCCCAGTAGGTCAGGGCAGATGTCTCTCAGGCCGGGAGGACAGGCTGAGTGGAAGCGGGGACGGCGCTCCCCAAGCCCCGGCCGCCCAGCTCCAGCCCTGCGGTGCTGGCTGCAGCAACGTGTTCCCCAGCTAGTCGGGGCCGGGAGCTGCAGCAGGGATCCTCCTATCAGTTCTGAGCAAATGCCCAAGAGGAAGGGACGATTGCAACGATTTGCAGAGAGATTTGTGGGGGAGGGAGAGCTTCTTAAAGGGACCCAGCTCCTCTCCTTCGCTTTCCTGCTTTCATTTGTCATATTGGTCAAGCACACTGTTCCCGTCCCCAGGGACCTCCGCGCCGCTATCCCTTGCACCGCTTTTACCCCGGTGTCACTTAATCGGGTCCCACCCTCAGCTGGATCGGGCTTGACTTCTGTGTAGCCGCTTTACCCCAGCTGAGGATCTGGCCTATTGGCTTCCGTGGTTCTGGGTTTATGCCTGCTCCAGTGGTGAATCAGGCCGTCTGCATGTTGCAGGGCGTGTGTCCCATGTCTCTGTGTCCGTCTGAGTAAGAGAGAGCACCCCCGAGGCTCAGGGGAGCTGCAGCAGGCTGGCTGGAAACCCACAGCTGCAGGGGAGAGTAATTAGCAAAAAGGAGAGGAAAAAGGGGCTGAAGAAATCAAGTTGGATGAGTTTGCTCCTCCTTGCAGTGAGCTGGCACCAGCAAGGAATTCAGTCTGGGAGAGACGGAGGAACAGCCCCAGGGAACAGGAATGGTGGCACTTCTGCAGCAGAGTTATTCATAGAGCCATGGGGCTGGACCCAGCACAGGGCAAACAAACACCCCAGGAGAAACCCGAGCCCTGTGAAAAGGCACAAAGGGCGGAGTGGGGAGTGCCGGGGGAGCGAGGCAGGAGAGGGTTAACGCGGAGGTGAGCCTGGCAGAGCTGGAAAGCTGGGACCTGGGAGGCCGCCAATGCAGGTTGTTTTGACCACCAGCTCGTGGAAAGAATTCATCTTTTGTTCTCCGGGCTCCTGGGAGTCGTCATGCAGATTTCACCCACCTCCGCTCGCTCCTGCCTCGCCGTGCCAGCGGGGGACGCCCCCCCATTCTGCCCATGCCTTCCACCCGCCAGTGCCTCACCTTTTTGGGGAGGGGCAGGTGCACTTCGGGCCCCACCCTTTCTACCGCTGCAGTCGCTCCCGGGTGTCAGAAGCTCGCTCTCGTTCCCCAGAGTAAAACAAGGGCAGGAGGGAGGAAGGGCTTCCCCACCGCGGGGGATCATCCTGAGAAAACACAGCCCAGATCCATTCCAGGATTTCGGCCCAAAGCTGTCTGTTCTCCTTCTCGCCCTCCAAACGACAGGAGTTCCCCTGACACCAGCACTTCTTCCCTTTTAATGATGGCAAATCAACATCACACTTCTGGTAACCCCTCCACGGGCTTGCTGCAGCTCTAGCTGGCACAGCTCTTGGGGACATAATAATCACCCTACTTAGCAGCTAGATAGCACTTTATATTATTTAAAGAACTGTGCATGTGTTAATCAATTAATACTCAAGCTCCTCTTCGGTACTGTAAGTGCAATTAAAAATAAACAGCAATAGGACCAAGAAAATGCCACCATGGCTAACCCACAGAGTAAAAGAGGCAGTTGAGACACAAAGCTTTTGATAGGTCTCCCACAATATTCTTGCCAGCAAGTTAAGGAAGTATGGATTGGATAAATGGACTGTGAGGTGGATAGAAAGCTGGTTAGATTGTTGGGGCCAATGGATAGTGATCAATGGCTTGATGTCAGGTTGGCGGTCGGTTTCAAGCAGAGTGCCCCAAGGATCGGTTCTAGGGCTGATTTTGATCAACATCTTTGTTAATGACCTGGATGAGGGGATGGATTGCACCCTCAGTAAATTTGCAGACAACACTAAGCTAGGGGGAGAGGTAGATTCATTGGAGGGGAGGGATAGAGTACAGTGTGACTCAGACAGATTAGAGGATTGGGCCAAAAGAAATCTGATGAGGTTCAACAAGGACAAGTGCAGAGTCCTGCACTTGGGACGGAAGAATCCCAAGCACTGTTACAGGCTAGGGACCAACTGGCTAAGTAGCAGTACTACAGAAAAGGACCTGGGGATAATAGTGGATGAGAAGCTGGATATGAGTCAACAGTGTTCCCTAGTAGCCAAGAAGGCTAATGGCATATTAGGATGCATTAGAAGGAACATTGCCAGCAGATCTAGAGAAGTGATTATTCCCCATTATTCTGCATTGGTGAGGCCACATCTGGAGTATTGTGTCCAGTTCTGGGGCCCCCCCACAATAGAAAGGATGTGGATGCATTGGAGAGGATCTAGTGGAGGGCAACCAAAATGATTAGGGGGCTGGACTGCATGACCTATGAGGGTAGGCTGAGGGATTTGGGCTTATTTAGTCTACAGAAGAGACAAGAGAGGGGGGATTTCATAGCAGCCTTCAACTTCCTGAAGGGAGGTTCCAAAGAGGATGGAAAGAGGCTGTTCTCAGTAGTGACCGATAACAGAACAAGGATCAATGGTCTCAAGTTACAGTGGGGGAGGTCTAGGTTGGTCATTAGGAAAAATTATTTCATTAGGAGGATGGTGAAGTACTGGAATAGGTTACCTAGGGAAGTGGTGGAATCTCCATTCCTAGAGGTTTTTAAGTTTCGGCCTGACAAAGCCCTGGCTGGGATGATTTAGTTGGGTTTGGTCCTGCTTTGGGCAGAGGGCTGGACTCGATGGCCTCCTGAGATCTCTTCTAGCCCTAGGATTCTATGATTTTTTTTTAAAAAATTGAAAGTCAAATTCTATCGAGGAAAATGGCAAGAAATATTAACTCTGGGGAGTCACCTGTGAAACTATACATAGGCCAAAAAAAAAAAAAAAAAAAGGATTTGAAGAGGAACTAGCAAAAGACACACAGAAGTAGCAAAATATTTTAAAGCACACCACACAGGAAGCCTGCCAAACATCCAGGGTACGTCTACACAGCACCGTTATTTCGGAATAACTGATGTTATTTCAAAATAACAAAGTGCGTGTCTACACACTAGCAGTTATTTTGACATAATATTGAAATAATGTCTAGCTGGAGCTCTTCTTACTCCAACTCCTGTAACCCTCATTTTACAAGGATTAAGGAAAGTCAGAGAAAGAGTGCTCTAGTTTGAAATAAGTGCTGTGTAGACATGCCCAAATTCAAAATAAGCAGTATTACAAACTTCTGTCAACAAAAGCCTGTAGTCTAGATGTACCCTAGGTCCAGAGGGTATTCACCTGAGAATTCTGAAGGAACTAAAATATGAAACTGCAGAGCTACTAATTGGGTTATATAGTAACTTATCACTTAAATTGACCTCTGTATGAGATAACTGGCAGATATCTAAGGTATGATCAATTTTTTTAAAGGCTTCAGAGGCAACCATGGCAATTACAAGCCTATAAACTTCTAGGCAAACTGGTTGAGACTATGGTGAAGAATAGAATTATTAGACACATAGATGAACACAATATCTTGGGGAAAGTCAACTTGGCTTTTGTAGCCAGGAAATCTCACCAACCTATGATGATTCTTTGGGGGGAATCAACAAATATGTAAATGAAGGGGATCCAGTTGACAGAGTATACTTGGACTCTCAGAAAGTCTTTGATAAGATAAGATTCCTCACCAAAGTCTCTTAAGCAAAGTAGGCAGTCATCAGATAAGAGGGAAGATTCTCTCATGGATCAGTAACTGGTTAAAAGATTGGGAACATAGGAATAAATGGTCAGTTTTCACAATGGAAAGAGGTATGGTGAGGTCCCCCAAGGCTCTATACTGGAACCAGTGCTCTTCAACATACTCATAAATGAAAAAAGAGTTAAACAGCTAGGTGGCAAAGTTTGCAGATGAAATTACTCAAGATAGTTATGTCCAAAGCAGACTTTAAAGAATTACAAAGGGGGTCTCACAAAACTGGGTGACTGGGCAATAAAATCTCAAATGAAATTCAATGTAAATGCTCTGGAAAACCTAATCCCAACTATATGTATAAAATGATGGGGTCTAAATTAGCTATTACCACCCAAGTAAGAGATCTTTGAATCACTGTGGATAGTTCTCTGAGAACATCTGCTCAATGTGCAGCAGCAGTCAAAAGAGCTAACAAT